ATACTGCATAACAGCAAACCGTACTAATGTTTCCACTTGATGGAAATTCTGTTTTGGGCAGGGTGAGGGGACAAATTTTGGGTGCTAATTCTTGGTGAGTAGCTGACTATGACATCCTACCCCTCTTTGCTGTAGACCCTGGAACAGAAGAGAGTCCTGATAGCATTTTTAACAAACCCAATATTTATTTGTTTTTCTCTTACACAACAAGCCCAGCCCCAGGGAGTGTACTATTGTATCGTGGGAAGTAATTTCTGCAGCTAGGCTCCTCTGAAAGGGCTGTGTCACTGAATATTCATTTTCCCTCTTTCTCTTGTGGTAACAGAACTCCCCAAATTTATCTAGGTACCTGGCCACCCAGATTAATAACTATGTTCTCAGCCTTTCTTGACATATAGTTACAGATTCTCCACATGATATAAGCAGAAACGAAGCATGTACTTTCTGGTTAATGTTCTTATGGGAAGGGGGATGATTTTCCTCCCATCACTCTCTGTCCCACACAACTCCTGCTACCTGGATGGAGGACATGATGTTGAGCCATTTGGACTATGACACCTGAGAAACATCCTAGGTGGGACAGAGCAACAAGCCAATACCCTGGGTCCCTGGATAGATGTGGGGCCAAGCTACCACACCAGCTCAGGACTGCATTCCTCCACAGTGCTACGTCTTAGATACCACTTTAGTTTAGGCAGTGGTTACACCCAGTCAAACTTTTAACCCATCTATGCTCAGGGGATTTCTACAAGGATTGTTGTATCAGTGTAGCTTAGAATTTCAGGATTCTGAAATATGGGCCTGGAATGTCAACGAGGCCCATCAAGTCTGGTAAATAAGTGGCTACAGGGGCTATAGGGGATACAGGGGCTGCCATCACAGAAGAGAAGGGGGCCCAAACCCACTTCTGATTTTCTAAACTCTTAGGCCCAGCCTACCTACTTGTAAAGGACTACAAACTCAACTTTGAGGCAATGGGCTTTGCTTCAACTTCTTTGGGACTCAATTTTTCATTTGAAGATCAAAATGGAAGATGAGACTAAAAATCTGTCTTGGAGGTGAATATAGAGTTACCTTAGGTGCAGTGAAACAATTTTTACCAGTAATCATCTAAGTACATGCATAAAGCTCGCACAATGTACAGAAGATCTCTCCAGAGCACATGGCAAGCTTATGCTATGCTCCAAGGGCAGACACAAAAGAGGTATCCATAAAGAATGCACAAGAAGATCAGCCATGGAAACATGATGACAAACTTATAATCATACGCATCTAAATAGAAATTAGTCCACCACCTTCAGAGGGACTGTATATTGGTAAATCTCTTTGGAGAGAAATTTGGGAATGTATAGTAAAGATGAAAATGTGCATACTCTCTAATTAATCATTTGTGATATATCTCTAGAGAAACTCTCATGGCTGCCAACTAAGAAATATATATATAAAGAAATTCATTGTTGGGCTGGGGATGTAGCTCAGTGGCACAGTGCCTGCCTGGCAGGAAAAATCTTGAGTTCAATCCCTGGTACCAAAACAAACAAATCAAAAAACCCCAAATTCCCATGAATAGGGAAATAGATAACACAGTATAGTCATACAATAGATGTAGATATCTGAAGGAAAGTGAAAAAAACACATTCAATGTGTATCAATGAAGACAGCAGAAAAACATGTTAAATGACAAAAGCACATTGTAAAATGATGTGTACGATAAGCCATAGATGCAAATTTTAAAATGTACTCATAACAAATCATTATATGTGAATTTATTTATAGAAGAGGAAGGAAATATATCAAATTATGGAGAACTTTTGCTTCAGAGGAGAGTATGGGGGTGGGGAAAGAGGACTAGGGATAGGTACAAAAGAGTTTTAAACTTTGTCAAGTTTTAGTCCTGTCATTTTTTAAAAATCTGAAAACAATAGGACAAACTTTTAAAGTTTGTTAATTTTAGATGTTAAAGTCTCTAAAATGGATGCTGTATGATTTTCTGGACTGTCTCTATTAATGATATGATTCAGACTAGGATGTAACTCAGTGGCAGAGTGTTTGCCAGCATTGCAGAAACCAACCAACCAACAGATAAACTACATAGATAACAAAATAAATGAACAAGGCAAAGGGCCAGTGTAGGAAGATGTCACAGAGGAAGGGATGTAAAGTGAATGTCAAAAGAGGAGACCAGTACTGGGCAGATGGACTTTCCTCATTTTCCCATGGGAAGCCCCATCCCAAGAGTCCTAAATGAGCCTTCTGAGGCTGCAGGGACAATGTGACAGGTTAGCTCTGTCCTCTTCTCTATGACCTGTGGAAGGAGTTTGTACTCTCTGCACCACTGAATCCAGGGCTCTCTGCCCAGACTCCCACAAGAATTCTAGGGTGTGCCGGGTATGGGAGTGATACTAAGCATACAGACACCTCCATACCTGCTTGGAAATGGATTGATAACCTTCTGGGTCACTTTGAATCCACCAGGCAGAAAATATTTAAATGGACTACTGATTCAAATTGAAATCTGTTGAGGTCAGATGGTGGTATTTGGGGGAAAGAATTTTTCAATAAATCACCCAGTTGGCTTGGTGACTAAGAAAATGGAGTGGAAGAATTTAACCCAAGTTTGTGACAAGGGAACAAATAGGGGAGATTAATGCCTTTCCTGATACACTTCAAAAGGTGATCAAACAAACCTTTCTTGATTGTAAAACCAAAGCAAGAAAGGGACATGGCTTTCTAGTTCTTGAAAAAAAAATCACTGTTTTCTGATTTCTTTTGAGTTCCTACACAAAGTGGTTGAAGAAACAGGAAGTTAGTTTTTGTCCAGCACCTTCTCTAGACCAGTATCAGGGTCCCCTTGGCTCTTCTGAGATCCCAATCCACTCCAAATATTTATGCTGTTCTTTCAAATCTAAACTAGTAGAGGACAGCACCAGAATCCAAATTTAAGCAGTCATACCATTTGTAATTAAATTACAAATTTAACCAGTCATACCTGATCCTGTAGAAATAAATGTAGGAAACACACTCTGTCTTACTGGGAGGGAAATCAAGCTGCTATCTTTTGTCCTGCTCAAAACAACTTGGCTTTCTTTTCCCAAATGTTCCCTACATTTCTGAGGAAAGAACTGTAGGTGGAAGAGTGAAAAGAGTGGGGCCTATTGGTCCAACCTCTCCATTCTAGGCGCCAGCCCCTTCTGTAGGAGCTTCTTCACTGACCCACAAGCAGTTACTCCACAGACCCCAAGAATACTCGGCTCCAGGAAGGCCTAGCCCTGGCCTCCCAGAGGCCTCCTGAAACAAGCGACACAGCCTAGTGTCTTCCACTGTCACAGACAGACCCAGCTGTGCTCTAGATGGCACATTTGGGGTCTGCTGAAGAAACCAAGGACAGGATAAGAGCAGATGTGGGTTGACTTGGAGTTCACAGGAATCTACCCCCTTGTTGTTTGCAGTCAAGTGCTTTGGGGCCCACTCCATTAAAGCTGACCTTCAAAGTCAACTCTTCTGCTCTTCACTTGCTATCAGGTCCCAGTACCCCTCCACCTCAGTCGGGGCTAGCCAGTCCTTTGAGCTTCTCCACTTGTTAGGCACCTGGGCCTTCCTGGGGCATAAAAGGAAAAATGGATTCACAGCTCCTGGTCAAACCCCACTTTTCCCACTCCAGTCACCCAAAGGGCTGAATCTCCCTCGGGCCCTCTCTTAGAAGACCAAGAAGCTGGCAACTGTGAACTCCCTCTCCTTTAGGGCGTAAGTATTTCCAGAATCTAGGGCCCAGCCAAGAGAGCCCAGGATCCTGGACAAATGCAGGCCAACAAAGAAGATGCAAAAGGGGTATATTACCATGTTAATAGCCTGAGGCCTCCTGAAGATGCCTGGAGGGTGGGTTTTCTTTCTTTTACTTTTTCTTTCTTTCTTTCGTTTCTTTTTTGTCTTTATTTTTGCAAAAGGATAATAGTTCTGCTTTCTATTTTACTACAACAATAGCATGGTCTGGCTCCTTCAAGTGCTTAAAAAAAGTGGCCTGAGAAATCTCTAACCAGCCCGGGTCTCTCCAGCCTGCAGCTCCATTGTCCCTCCTATCCCACTGAACAAAGGGGAGGGAAGGGTGTCAGGCCCCCAGTTGCTGTCTGTTCTCAGCATCCTAATCCTTGAGAACTGGTGAGGGGAGGGCCTGCGGAGCCGGTCAATCGCATTTTGCCCTCACTTTCTATTCCCTCCCTCCGCTTGCATACTCTGAGAGTTGCAGGTATTAGAAAACCTCCTGGTCAGTGGGCCAGGAGGAGACCTGGGATAAAAGGCACTGCGGATCATTCCCACGTTCACTGACCACCCGCCCCCGCCCCCGGGGTAGCCCCTGTGGATTGTTCTTTCCCACCACTCACTCCAACTTCGCTTCAGCGGAGCCTGATGGCAAGCCTGAAGTGGCTGCTGGTCTTTCTTAGGGGTAGGTAGCACAGGGCGAAACATTGCACCCCCACCCCCTGCCTTCTCTGTGCTGTTTGTACATGGGCTGCAGATTGTAACCCAGAGAGCTTCAGGTGCCATTTCCACACCAACCTGGAGCTATCATGCCCCAGCAACTCCTCACACCAGGAGCACTTTTTGGCCTTGACTTGACTGCTGTTACCTTTCCAAGTCTACCACCCAGGAAGCAAGGGTTTCTTTGCTTTAAACCTGGGGAATTATACAGGTGTCTTTCAGCTCAGTCATCTGGTAAGAACAGGAAAAATAAGCCTTTATGTTTTAGCTATGTACAACTGCGCTGAGGTAAGTGAATGATAAGTATATCACCAAGTGCCAAGAGACCATCTGAGAAGGTTACTGTGAACAGAGTAAGAAAACACCATCACTGCAATCCCTGTACATGAAGTCTTAATGTGCACACATATACACATTTATACAAAATCACACACATGCAATCACACAAGTATTTCATGACATAATCTGATTTTTTTTTCTATTCTCCCTTTTTCCCTCTCTCCCCTTCTTCCTAAATGCTGGTTGTGACTCATCAATTTGATGTCATGACCCATTGATGGGCTGTAGCACAGTTTTCCAAACCTTGAATGAGCATTTTCATTTTCAAGCCAACAAATCGAGGTTCGGAGAGATTTTCTCAAGATCACAGCAGAGCTGGTACAGAAACCCAAAGGTTCTCCTCAGTAAAAGGGAGCTCTCATATTTCTGGACAGCAAAACTCCTACATGCCCTCCAGTAGCCGTGGAGCACATCACAAGGCACAGGGTGTGCTAACAGGTTTGCTGATGACAGCAGCAGGATCCTACCACCTCTGGGCCTCTGACAGGGAAGTGCACCTGAGCAGGTGGGTCAGGAAACCGACTTAGAAAATAGCCAGGTGAGGTTCTGAGGATTCCCAGCCATTTTTATTTACTGCTGGGGAACTTGCATCATAAGACATTTTCCTGAAAGCTTTTCCTTCCTGGACACATTATTCCAGGTCAGTCTCCTTTAGTAGATTATTTACTCCCCTATCTTGCAACTTTTTCTAATAGTCTTTCCTTGCAATTTTAAAAAACTTCTATCAATGCATTGTATTTCCAGTTTCTATTTTCTCTAAACAATTTCAACTTCCCTGTCAAGATCATTATGTTAGCAATGAACATCAGGCATGCAGCCCAGTGAATCTTGTTAACACAAATATGTACGAAGTTATCCCTATTTCACTAGGCTTAAAAATGTAGTTTTCAAGGCACAAACATCCTAGCAAGACTTTCAACTGATTCTTTTCCTCTTGAATTTAACTCATAATTTGCCATAGAATTTCTTGAAAACTTCATTTAAATTTGCTATTTACCAGACTTCTAATCTTTTAAGACCGCCTCTAAAAATGAAGAGCTCCAAGCCACACTGTGCACTGGGTAAATAAAACCGAGCTTTCTGATTGCTTATTAGTTATACACCCTTAAAGTGTATGTAACAAAGGGGCCTGCTGTTTGCTTTGCTTAATCTGGTCTTAAAATCTCTGCTTCTTTGTCAGAAAACAATATTTGCAATTGTAAAAAAAATATTTACCAAGGGACTTGGATAGCATAAGTCAAAGGCAAAGAGCCAAAGGTCAGTAGTTTTCACCCCAAATTTCTGTGGCCCCAAGAGTCCCTGCTGGGGAGCTCAGCTGCACCAAACAAACATGCTGCTTTGAGAGTCCATTAAGAAGCAGGCATTTTAGAAGAGGAAGGGAAGGAAGGGCAGCAGCCCACTTCTCAGCCTGCACTAAAGAATCCCTGCAATGCAGTGCAATGATCTATGCAATGCAATGATCTCCATGAGGGTGGTACAGGGGCTGCCCTGTTTCATAAACCCAGAAAAAGACTTCAACTTACAAAATCCTGCAGGGCCGACATTTCTCTACTATTGCTACTGCAATACAGTGGTACCTCAGTTCACGAACTCAATTTGTTTTATGATTTTGGAGAAGATGACTGCATTTTGTCACACAATGTGAAGTCTGTGAATGGAAGCAAAATTCTGTTGTGCTTCTGTTTGATAACTGAATTGTTTGTAAACATTAACATTGATGAACTGATGTATTACTGTGCCTCTCTCCTGAGGCTCAGGTCAAATATTTACTGATACATTCGGTGGGTGAGGCTGCCTGCCTGACACTGGGAAACAGACAGATGTGTATCATGAGCACTTCCTAATTCACAAAGCCATTTTGCATATCCAATCCCAGGGGCTGATTTTTCAGAGCTTGATGGTGTTCTAATTTACTTCTTCATGTTCACTGTTTTCTGGAAAGACCTGGGATTGGGTGCCTTTCCGAATCACCGAGTACCCAGTTCAGATCAGGAAGTTCCAGGTTGTGGCTTGGGGTGTCTCACTTTGATCAAGAACTCAGCTTCTTCCAAGTTCCAGGCCCATGTCACAAGAGGCAGGTCAGCAAGCAAAGCATACCCCAGCATAAGGGTCTGTTGGGGACTTGACCTTGGGGAATGGAAATGGAGTAACCACAGGGAAGCCAAAGAAATGGGAGATCTTGGAACCATGATACGGTGACTCACAGGTCACCAGCCCAGATGGGCTGTAGCTTGTGAAGCGAGAGGCTCCTTGCACTGGCATCAGAGATCAACTGCCTGGTTCACGCTATAGGATTCATGAAGAAGACCACTGGCAGCAATTCCTAGCACTCTTGTTCTGACCTTTATTTTCTGTTGTCCCACTCTGCTATTAAATCCTACAGTTCTCCCTCAACCATGCCTCAATCTTCTGTCCAATTCTCTCACAGATTCCAATGTTTTGACCATATCGGGGGCAATATCACTGGCCAATTCACCTTGGCCTTTTTTTTTTTTTCTGGTACCAGGGATCAAACTCAGGACCTTGTGTTTGCAAGGCAGGCACAGTGCCACTGAGCTAAATCCCTGGCCTACCCTTGGCCTTTGATTCTGTCCTGAAACAGCTTCTAAAGTGAACTGCGCCAGCAATGGGCAGCACTGAGCACAATCAGATTAAAGAAACGGCTTACGTTTAGGATCTTACCTTGGAGAACCAGACCTTCTGCCTCGATGGTGTAGACAAACGAAGTGAAGGCAGCCAAAGGGGACTTGGCAATGAGAATCTGCACATAAAGCATATTTGGCCAGAGTGAGACAAATGATCAGGTACAGCAAGCCTCTATTACTCCCCTTCCTACTTCGATAAGAGTGGTAACGTATGACTACAGATTGTAAGGTTTATTATTAAAAACATGTTTTGGAAAGGAATATTTACATGTGTGCTATCATTTCAAAGTGCTCACCTTAGAAGGGTAGCTATCCCACATATTCTGCCACCAAATGCCATATTTTTTAACCAATTCTTCCAGAAGCAAGATTCATTATTTATGTAACATCATTAAACATCTATATTTCTGCTCAAAGAGAAACCTAGCCCAATTCTTTAACTGTATTCATAAGCTTAGCAATTAAAAAAATTTAAAGCCACCCTTATAATATTTACCATCACTGCAAATGTTCAAAATAATGTGCTAGAGGCAAAGCAATCGTAAGTTGTTTTATTGACACCAATCCCTCAGCAATTCTGTGTTTACATCTTTCATCATGGGTTTATATTTTTTCCTACTTAAGGTGCAGTACATTTTCCTAGGACCAGACTGTGGGGTTGGCCATATGACTCGCTTTGGCTACCTAATAATTTGTGCCAGTTCCCAGCCTAGGCCTTAGGAAGCCTCAAGTATTTTCCCTTGTTCTCTTAGTCTCCTGCCACTGCCAGGGGAAAGATGTCCAAGCTAGTCTGCTAGAAGGAAAGTAAGAACAGAGCTGCCCAGCTTAAATAGGTGATCCCTAGAAGACACAGATACTTGTGAATTAAATATTTCTGTACACCTATCGGCTTTTTGGTGATGATGTTATAAAGTATTTTTTGCAGTAAGAGTTGACCCACACACCAGCCAAGACAAAATGGGAAAAGTGGAGTAATGACATTCTCCCAAGACAAACACCGTACCTATTTTAAAGGAGATGGTCATTTGGTTATTTAAAATATTGGAACCATGAACCTATTGTCGCACATCATATGGTTCTACAGAGCCTCTCAGAATTAGGGTATTCTTTTATTATAATATTTCTATTGAAGGAAGATGAATATCATCTTTCTGCTTTACAAATAAAAATAATATCAAACGTAGTGACAGTTTGGCACAGAACCACTAAGGTAATCGGGAAAGCAAGGAAGAAGGAAGAAATAATTTCAAAAACCAAAAAGATTACTCATATTTCATTCTCTCTCAATTTAACAAACATTTACTGACTGTCAATTATGAGAAGTGGTGGAATAATGGGGTAAAAGGATCACAGGCTATAGTCATGGAGTTTGAATCTAGCCGCTCCACTGATCAGCTAGGTGTCTATGCACCACCTCCAGCTTCTTCGCAAAAGCTCTTCCTCTTCCTCCTTTTAGTAACGGCCAGAGCTCTCACCTTTCTCCCCCTCTTTTGTGACTAAGTGTGGTCATGCGCTAGCTCTGATTAACAGAATGTGAGCACAAATGATAGGTAGAACTTCCAGAGTATGTTTTCATAAGGTAATTGCATGTCCTTCACCTTCCCTTTCCCCCTTCCCAAGGGCAAGAGCCAGTTCCAACCACGTGGCTGCAAGCAACAAACATCCTGGAGATGACGAAACGGAAGAAAAAAGCTGGGTAGCCTCAGGGAGGATCAGTGCTTCCCCACCGGGTCACCTATCCCCTGAGGACACTCATCTTACCCACTACATTTCAGATGTCTTTGTTACATAGTATCGTCTGAACTGTAACCAATAAATGATTTTGGACAACCTAAACTTTCTGAATCTTAGTTTTTTTCATTTGTAAAATTGGGATTAAAACACCTGCTTAAATAGGAGTACAGTGAGGATTAAATTAAATACGTGAAATGCTCATTACGGTGTCAAAGATGTGGTAAGTGTGTAATATGCTTTTCAAGTGCCCTGTAACTCTCAGCAAAACATAATATACTTTTATCAGACGGAATTTTTAAGAATTAATCTAAAGTTTTCTGATAAACTTGCTCATCATTCTCAGAATTAATGAGTAGAAGGTACAGATGGGTGTTACACTTTCATGTAAAAAAAATCTCATCTGAAAATTATGGTGGATCATTTTGTGAGATAGTTTGGAGATATTCATGTGAAATTTAAGGATGCCTCTTAGTAGGGAAACAGCATAGCAAAAGAAAGGATAGAGTTTTTCAAATTTTAATGTGGGAATGAATCACCTATGGGTCCTGCTGACATGCAGATTCTGACCCAGAAGATCTTGGATGGGGCTTGAAAGTCTACATTTCTAATGAGCTGCTAAGAGACTCTGATGCTGGGGTCCACAGATCACATTTTGAGTAGCCTGATCGAAGATAGAAAAGGCAAAAGATGGGAGGCCTGGAGCCAGTTAAGGAGGCTTTTGCAATAATTAAGTGATGAGATGATAAGGACCTAAACCACAACTTGTTAGAAAGAATGGGGCAAAAGGGAATGTATTAGAGATATATAAATCCTTTAGATCAAATAGCAATACAGGAAACCAAATATACCCCAAATCACAGACCATTACTGTCTATATGTAGCAACCAGACACAAAACCAAAAGGATATAAATAGCATTCAATAAAGTATCATAGTATATTCTTGAAAACTACCTTACCATTTTTATTTTATAGGCTGTAGAAGTTGCGACCCAGAGAAAAAGGTGTGGAACTGCAGTGCGTGCTGGAACAGTGTCTTCTGAGCCCAAGCCTTCCAATTCTGGGGTATTACCTGTCATTTAATGCCACCAGGGGAACAAGGCCCAAGGCCCAGGCACGGGGTTCTCAAACCTGGAGGGACCTCCCTGCAGCCAAGCAAAAGGTTTGGATAAGTGTCACCCACTAATGCCGTATCTTTCTGGAGCAGTATTTAACATGAGTCATCCAAAGGACGGTTTGTGTGCAGTTAAAAAGAGGAAGTGATAAATTGTGTCAGATGAATGTCGTTTCCTTTTTTGGGAAAGAGCTTCTAGATTGATAGATCAGAGGGCAATCACCAACATGAAGCATCTGATTTTACAAAAAAATGTAACAAATTCTCTTGATAGCATGCTAGATAAAGTGAAAATAAGTTGTGCTGAATTCTTACATCATTAGGCGGATTTATAAGTGACCATAAGATCAGAGCAACCTGCGAGAGTAGCAACCTCTGGTGGAATACAGGGTTCAGCCTTTGTCTGGTTATGTTCAACATTTTTACTAACTGGATGAAAGCATATCTAATCACATCCATACAACAAAGATGGAATCCAGCTGGAAACGCTAATAAAGCTTACATTTCAATGGAGAAAAAAGATAGCAAACAAAATAAAAACACAGTACTTAGATAATTGTATATTACATCATGGAACTAAACTAATTGGTGGGATGCAAAATTGATAGGAAAGCAACATAAGAAATGTAGAGAAAGACTTCATATATTATATCACATAACCATAATAGCAAAACAACTCCCAACTTGGTTAAAATATTAGGACAAATTCTACATATCTGTTGGGATGCAATTTCAATGAAATAAATGTAAGGCCTTGTCCTTGAGAATTGAGGACAACTATTGGCTATAGAATACAGGAGATGAGATTTAGCATTCAGAAAATGGAGTAGGAGTGTGGTTCTGTAATTCAATGTGAGAGCTATGAAATGTGATTCTTGGAAAACTAGTGTGGTCTCAGGTCATATCAATGAAAGCACAGTGTTTGGCGTATAGGAGGTGCTGCTTCTTTTGACTGGTTTCCTCTTGACTTAGCGGGCATCCAAAGTCTAAAAGGGAAAGTGACAAACAGGAAAATAAGCAAAATAACAAGGTGTTCTGATGTGTAAAGCAATCCACGATTGCAAACACTGCAGGGCAAAGCGGATGGAAGGTGCCTGCAGCGAAGGTACACGATGCACTTAATATGAGTTTCCTGACCTAGAAATTCTGTAGTGTTGCATACTGGTTAGAGGACGTGTAAATTATCCTTTCAACCCAATAGACTTGGTGGGGGAAAGGGGATGCTGATTATATACCTTTGTGAGTATACAGAGATTCCATTCCTTTTTAGATCTGAATCAACACCTTAGGTCCTGTGCTTTCTGCCATTCAAACCACACTCTACTGCAGAGCCGCTTCCACCCTACTCCAGCAGGTCATTAGGCCATGCTGTTTCCAATGTTTGACCATGCTACAAGTGTGGGGGCGTTCTCATCTGGGTGACTTGGGCAGCTGTCAAGTGTCGCTCCTTCTTCTCCCATATGCGATGCCCTACAGGGAGCTTTCGGGGCCTAACAAAACTCCAGGTCCTGTGCTCATGTCAGCAGCACATATACAAAACTCCAGGTCCTTAGTGAAGAATTCTGATCACACTTAATCCTGTGCACAGTGTGTGGAGCTGGCTTTGGAACTCACTGAAGGTTCACAGAAGTACATAATTGAGCAAGAATGAGTGTAGACACAGGTGGGTTAGACAGCCTGGAGCTCCAAGCGGTGGATGTGTGTTGTGAGCTGTTAAGCCCACCTCCTTCAAATAGCCACATTATTTTCTCTTGAATGTATCCTTTCTGTCAGACCAGCTCAACTTTAACTTCACTCTAATCAATGTATTTTCTCCTTTCCTCACCTATTCTTCCAAGGAAAGGGGTAACCAGTATTTTTTCATTCTCTTGAGGAACATTTAAGGCAGACCTGACACGCAGTAGGTTCTGGGTCCCAAATCCCATACTCATCTGGAAGGCATTTCCGTTGTTTATACTGTCTGCTCATCCATGCACTCCCTTGGTCCATAAATATCTAGTGGGCTCTTTCCCTTGCACTAGGCTCTTTCAGACACAGGCAACATAGGGGACAAAATAGTAAAGTCCCTGTTCCCATGAAGCTGACATTTGATGATAGAAGAAAGCTCAGGGAAGCCTTTGGCTTTTGTCCACTTTGACATTCTACTATATGCCCTTCATCCCTGGGCATTCAAATCCATGCATCAGCTGAAGTTTATTGAGTACCTACTCTGGAATAGCTGGGTTTGATTTGCCCTATGTAAATATGCACTTGTGAAATGAAGGCCATCTGCTTGTATCTTAGTTTGTTCCTCAGTTGCATCTTTTGAATTCTCCATGAGATCAAGATTGTAGGCATCTTCTTTGATCTCAGCCCCTTCCCTTCCACAAGGCTCTGTCAGTATTTTGCAGCCGTGACTGGTAGGATTGTTTCTCACTGTTTATTTTCTCCTCATGCTGTCTGTATGAAGGTTTCTTGCAATTTACAGGTGGAAGCACAGAGACTTAAGGACTCTAAACAAAAGGTGGATGTCCCTGTGCAGCCTCTCCTCTTCCCCCTTCTCTCACGTCTCTCCCCTAAGGTATTCATTTTCCTCTCAGCAAATAAGCTGCCAGCTAATTCTCTCTAGCCCAAAAGGGACAGCTGGTTTAACCTTCCAGTATTATCCTTATCGGGTATTTGTATTTTAGGGAGAAGAACGGATCTGTAATGGTGAGAAGTACAAAGGGAACAGGGGACTGGGTAGAGGAGTGTTCCAGGGTTATATAGCAATAATGATTAGGAGAATGACAATGAACACACATTAATCTTCTTAAGAACCTTTTGAAGCAGGTAGTTCATGAATACTAAAGCTGGATTCCAGCTCAGGCTACCTTATTTTGTAGTCCTTACAACCACCATGATGGCAGCCCCCAGTTTTGCACATACAGATTAATCCATTAAAAGAGGCAGAATAATATAACAGCAAGTAAGGGCAACCTCTCACTGCCACTGCAGTGTGGATACTGCATGAATCAAGGCCAAGAAGGGAACTGGGCAGGAGACCCACATGGTTGCCTCTGTTGCTCACGGATTCCACGTTGGCAGTCTTCCTTTCTCCTTTCCCCGCTGAATGTCCAAATCTTACCTCCTCTTCACACCTCTTGGCCATCTCTTCCAGAAGTTTATGCCAATTTCTCCAGCCTAGTGTCAACTTTCTAATCCCATCATGCTTTATCTGTACCTCTCTAATAATGATATTGCTTTCATCACTGTTTTACAGTTAATATCACCGGGATTCTCTGCCATCTATTTGAAGGCAGACATGGAATCATGGCTGCTGCTCCTGGATCCACAATCTACAGCCCCCAGTTCAGTGATGTATGTATCAGAAACTCTTCTGTGAAGTGCAAAAATGAATGCATAAACACACAAATTGGTGATCCACAAAAGTACTACATATTTGTACCTACTTTGAGGACTTAATTGTGATTGATGTCTCTTTCCCCAAATTACAGGATTCATACAATGCCATAGAAAATAGCAGGCTATGGCTGGGGATTTAGCTCAGTGGTTCTGCCACCTGCCTTGCAAGCGCAAGGACCCGAGTTCAATCTCCAGCACAGGAAAAAAAAAAAAAAAAAAAAAAAAAAAAAGAAAAAAAAAAAAAAAAAAAAAAAAAAAAAAAGAAAGAAAAAGAAAAAAGCAGGCTGCCTAGTCAATCTCTGCCAAGATTTTCAGCTTGGGCAGAGCCCAAAGTCAAGTCTTTGGTTCCAGATTGCTATAGCATCACATGTTTTTCCTGGCCTGTCCCACTTCCAAGAGTCTCAGAGAGTGGAAAAGGAGCCACAGAACAGAAAGTGCTGGGCATAGGAACCCTAATACTTCTCCAAAATGGTAA